ATGTTGTTTCTTACAAGTCATTCTTATAGTACAACGTGCAAGCATTGATACAACAATCTATTTTTGTAGTAGTCAATCCCAATTTGGATGCTAATTTCTTAGTCTCATACAAGCATAATGGAATTAAATTTTTTCTAGGATTGGTTTCCTTAAGAAAGCTTGTGAACTTATAGAAGTTTTAAGCTTGTGGGCCTAATGCATTGAAAATTATTTCTTTATACATCATTCTATTCTCATCCTCTATTATTCTAGAACTTGTTGAAGGGCCACATTGAAAGTTAATATGTTGTTTGTACTCTTTATGTGAAGTCTAGAACAAATAACCTAGTAGAAATGCTCTATGATATAATTCTAAAATTAACCTTATTTGGTGCAAGGTACACTTAATTTTTGTGTTTTGAGTGGGGACACCTAAACATATCATCTGATAAAAATGCAAGAAATTGAAATACTATGTGAATAAAATATTCAACTCTCTTAATAAACTCATTTGTTAGTGACTATCATCCCAGTAATAATTTATTATACATTCATGACCTTTGATTTTAGAATAGCTTGATATAACAAACGTAAGCATGAAAATTAGTTAAGTAAAAATGAGGTTAAACAAAACAATTTTTAATTCTTACAAATTAATATAAGATTAAAACATTTAAAATAATTTTTAAATGTTATTTAAAGGTCCATAGCTTAGAAATCTTAACAATAATGTATATTATATGTATGAGAAACTTTAATCTAAGAAAAATTTAAAGAAAAATATCTAATTGAAAGTCATTTTAAATAATATCTAACTGATAAAATATTAAATTAATTAAAAATTATTAAATATATGAATATTTACCTTTATAATTTTGATAATATAGAGCAAATAGGCTAAAAAATGGCCTTGAACAAGCGACGATGACAAAGAGAACGTGTTGTGAATTAGGAGGGGAGTTCATTATGAAATGGGAGGGGAAAGTTGTGAGGGATGAAATAGGGCATTCTTAACAAAATTTCTATATAATATTTTATCGTAAACAACGTAAATATTTGAACATTACTTCCGTCAAAATTCCGGCGCTCATTATAATGAGCGAAGAGATTTCAAACAAAAAATTTTAGCCAAAATTTTAAGAGGAATTACTATTGGCAATTCCATCAAAATTGGGTTTTTTTTTTAATGTTATGCACCTAAGTGATGTGAATTATGGTGTTTAGAATGGTTTATCTTAAAACTCCTCTATAGGTGCCTTCACCAGCTTTCTTCCCAAGAATAAACTTTTTATGTTATGCGCCTTAATTAGATCCTCTACCAAGGTCATAGGTGTTGATAATCCTTAGTGTCATAGTCATAGTCATAATGGTAGTCCATTACTTTGATTGGTCATGCAAATGACTATTGGCCCTCCCCCTCATGGGCGTCGATTTCTTCAATAAGTCTTCATTTTGAATGACCTTAACTAACTCGGCCATTGAGACTCACAACATGTCATATTTGGTAATAGGATAATAGGAAGTGGAAATGACTTCTCTCCACGGTGATTATCATGCTTTTTGTTTTATTTGCACTCACCTCTCAAAGATATGAGTTCTTTGATGTTGAGCTTATCTCCTTTGATCATCATAAAATATTCTATTAGCCTCTGACACCTGGAACTACTTTTCCTATCCTTAAGATATATTAGAATTATCTTGACATGTTATTTTTTTCCCTTCCTCCTAGTTGATGTAGAGGCTTCATTCTTTATGTTGTACTCTTAGGCATTTATATGATTGTTGGAAAGATAAGCAACTCGGCATTATTCCCTAATTATTGTAGGTTGAGTGCATTTTCTAAAGTTCCTTTATACTGCTCTTGGGTGAAAAACTCTTCATATTAAGCATCTCATTTTGGAATCAAGTAATTAAAATTCTTAATGACTCACTCATTTCTTGTCTAATTCGTAATATGACCTATGATTTCTTTAGTGGCACGTGCACATTGAAAAATTGAGTCACAAACTTACTCTTGAACTTGATGAAAGTAGTGATGCACCAAGTGGTAAATGCGAGAACCTTCTTAGAGGTGATTCTTTAATGGTAGTGAATAATAGTCAACACTTCAATGTGTCATTAATATCAAGAAGAGAAATAGATTACTCAAAGTATGTAACATCGTTGTTGGGATCTGTCTTTTGGTTATACAAATCTAGGTAAGAGACTTCAAATTTTGTTAGAGGCTTGGTCTCAAGAATTTCCATTGAGAAGGCACTGACTAGTGATAACTTCCTCTTCTCAATCCTTCTTTCTTCTTAATAAAAAGCCAAAGTTGACTCGTCATTACATGATAGTATATCTCATCATTGATTGGAGTAGAGGTCAAAGCTATCAGTACAAAAAGACTCATTTTCCTCATTTCTGAATTAGAGTATCCTTTAAGAATTTTACCTTAGGAGTGGTTCTAGAAATTCTCTCAAGTGCACCCAAGATCATTCAAGTCATCATGTCCTTGAATTCAATGGACTGTCAAATATTCACATACTCGTTGTTCTTGATAGATGCTTCTT